CCCAAAGACAGCCTAGAACCAAATAAACTGTGACAAGTTTCAAGTTCCAGGTACCCGCATGAAAGGAATGGTTACTGGTCTTAATAAAAGAATCTAGGAACAAGTCCTCAGGGAAATCCATCATTCTGGAAACTTCTTCCTCTCTTTGGGGCAGCTTACTGTCTTTTGTACAGGACTTTTTTTTTTTTTTTTTGGCGGAACCGGGGATTGAACTCAGGCCTTTGCACTTGCCAGGGAAGCGCTTATTCCACTGAGCCATCTCCCCGGCCCTCAGCTTACTGTCTTTTGATTTCTCCTCACAAATAAAACATCTTCCTTTCTTATACTCTGTCCCTTTATTACTGGTGCTGAGTTAAGATACCCACTAACTGCTCATTACAAGTGTTCACCTCAGATGGGACAAAAACATGCTCCCTTCTACACAAGTCATTCAAAAACTACACCTCAATGTTTCACAATAAGCTTGTAAATCTAGGCTCTTATTGTGTCTTTTTTTAACCTATAAATTGCATTTCCTCTACTTCAGAAAGCCATAGGATTGGGGGGAAGCATATCTCAACTTCAAACATATGTAGATGACGTGCCCTGTAGCCTAACAGACAGAATACACATCCCACATCATTCATCCTCATGATACCTCCTCAAGTGTACTCAACTCTGCTCACGTGTGATTTGCTTCTCTGAGCATCCACAGTCAACTCTAGAGAGTGTCTTAGATCTCTGATAAGCCCTTCTCCTGTCTCTCATACTAAGACATCTAAAGATTCTTTTTATGTGACAAGTCACTGAACCCATGAACTTATTCTGTAAAAAAGTGTGGATTCAGTTCTTCATTTCAGCCTCAGAGGCTCCCAGACCCAGCCAGGTGACATTTAACAGACAGCAGGAAAGACTTGTTCCTCCACTGCTGCTCCTGGTGTGCCTGCCAGTTGGGCCCTGAAAGAAAAAACCTGAGGGTGCCACCCACCTGTCACAGGTGTGCTCTAACCCGTCACACTCCAAAGTGTCCTGAGACCTTCTTTTGCCAGGTCTCAGAGGTTTCTCTGTTCCTCTGTCCTCTGCTGATCCTATACCTGCTTAATCTCAGAATAACGGCAGGGTGGCCCTCAGTAGGGTGGCAGGGACCTGTCAGAATCCCAGCATTTTACAGCTGGAAAGGACCCAAGGAGGTTATTAAGAAGTGACCAGAGGGGATGAGCATCTCTCCCGAAGACTTCCGGTTGTTGGTAAAGGAACAAGCAGGTGTGGCCTCTGTATGCCAGGCAAGGCCAGTCTCAGAGGATGACTTCTCATCATCTGCTGTCTTCAGCATTCATGGATCCATGTCTCGGGTCTTGGCTAGATTCCTGGGCTGCACAGGCACAGCTGAACGCAAAGGCACATCTGAAGTGCCAGCCAAACAGCTCAGCAGATTAAAGAGCCTGCAAGCAAGCGCGGGGGCCCAGGGTTCGATCCCAGGGCTTACTGTGCTGGCCCCACCCCCCGGGGC